TCACGGCCAAAGACTAGTGGTGTAACAAATATAAGAATTGATAGAAGGAAGAGGTAAATACGGTGTTATATAGTACACACAAGTTTAATGTATATACGGTAGGCAGATACAATACGTACACAGGGTGTTTACATCATCTACAAATGTGCCTCCAATAGGAACTAGTGTGTAGACGGGAAGCAAAACAAGTTACATCCTGAGGGACGTAAGATTGTATTCTTTATATAAAAGGACTGAAATACAGACAGGTCATGTTATTAAAGTAGCCACCATTACACTTCACAATTATGTGACTTTACAGGACACACGTATTTCCTGAAAGGACCTTTGTGATGGATTATCGGGGTGCCTCGACCCCTAGAGTTGTCGGTGAAGATATAACACTAGGGTCCTACATGACTTAACAGGACACACGTATTTCCTAAAAGGACCTCTGTGATGGATTATCGGAGTGCCTCGACCCCTAGTGTTGTCGGTGAAGATATAACACTAGGGTCCTACATGACTTTACATGACACACGTGTTTCCTGAAAGGACCTCTGTGATGGATTATCGGGGTACCCTGGCCCCTAGAGTTGTCGGTCAAGATATAACACTAGGGTCCTACATGACGTCAGTACCAGCAAGCCGTGCCAGTATATGCTTTAATTAGTCAGACATGTTCGCACAAAGTGCAGTCTTTCTGTATTATACTGGCAGACAGTCAAAACATGCAAGGCAATATCAGTATTTGAGCAAAGACTACCAATGTCTCGCCGATTTAAGAGAAAGAAAACTTGTAAGTTCCATGTATAAATCTGAAGCATCACAATACAAACATTGGCTACTGAAAATGTCTGTCGTATATTGGTCGAGGTCCCTTCCTGTACCCAGCGAACCCTCTAATGAGCAAATATAACTTATCTTAATTTACCTATGTAGTAATTCCACGGCTAGTAATTCCACGGCTAAACGCTAACACGGGATACAATTTGAAGTATGTATGATTGTTCCGTATGTCTGTTTGCCTAGGGATCGGTAGATTTCCTGAACTAGCCGCAAGTTTGCACATTTGTATGGAAATAAGTCACACGGAAAGTGTGATGTGTTTATTGTTGTTTGTAGTAGCCGGTGTGATGAAACTTGATTCATGGAGACTGGTGATCCCGGAGATAGAGCTGGCTCAACGGAGACGTGTTTGAAGTGGTGAGTGCAAACACCAGCCACGGAAACAGTCGTAGGCAAAACCTGGATCTCGTTGTGTACAACTGTTTAATTCCGATGTAAAAGAATGTGTTATCTAAAGTGTATAAACATTGGTAGTGATGTCACACCTAGGAGTGAGAAATGTACTCCCTGTGTTTAGACTTCTTTGTAGTAAGCTAAGCTGATATTTGAACGGGCCTATCAGTTAATTATGCCAATTACAGGGGGTTAGGGATATGTTCCATGATAATACTCAGTAAAAAGGAGTCTTTTTCGGCATTGCAACATTCCTGAAGTGCAAGCGTTAAGCGATGTTCAGTTTGTAAGACAAATCCGTACTAATGGCTAAAAATATGGTTTTACATAAACGGTACTGGTCCGTCAGCCGCATCAGGTGCATGGTCACGTGTGCTCCAGTCTCTAATCGTTATCGGTTTGAGCTGATGTTCACGAGGACTGCAACCTGTTTCTCTCCGCGAGGCTTGTGTCCGATTCCTGTATTCTTGATTTCAGTCCGGGACTTAAGAGGTTGTCAGTGCCACATGTCTGTCTTCTTGTTGTCAGTCCGGGACTTAAGAGGTTGTCAGTGCCCCATGTCTGTCTTCTTGTCTGTCAGTCCGGGACTTAAGAGGTTGTCAGTGCCCCATGTCTGTCTTCTTGCTGTCAGTCCGGGACTTAAGAGGTTGTCAGTGCCCCATGTCTGTCTTCTTGTTGTCAGTCCGGGACTTAAGAGGTTGTCAGTGTCCCCTGTCTGTCTTCTTGCTTCTTTGTCTGCAGTCCGGTCAGTCCGGGACTTAAGAGGGACTTAAGAGGTTGTCAGTGTCCAATGTCTGTCTTCTTGTGATCAAGTCCGGGACTTAAGAGGTTGTCAGTGCCCCATGTCTGTCTTCTTGTGATCAAGTCCGGGTCTGAAGAGGTTGTCAGTGCCCCATGTCTGTCTTCTTGTGATCAAGTCCGGGACTGAAGAGGTTGTCAGTGTCCCCATGTCTGTCTTCTTGTGATCAAGTCCGGGTCTGAAGAGGTTGTCAGTGCCCCATGTCTGTCTTCTTGTGATCAAGTCCGGGACTTAAGAGGTTGTCAGTGCCCCATGTCTGTCTTCTTGTGATCAAGTCCGGGGTTGTCAGTGATCAAGTCCGGGTCTGAAGAGGTTGTCAGTGCCCCATGTCTGTCTTCTTGTGATCAAGTCCGGGACTGAAGAGGTTGTCATGTCTGTCTTCTTGTGATCAAGTCCGGGTCTTAAGAGGTTGTCAGTGTGTCTGTCTTCTTGTGATCAAGTCCGGGTCTGAAGAGGTTGTCTGTCCCCATGTCTGTCTTCTTGTGATCAAGTCCGGGACTTAAGAGGTTGTCAGTGCCCCATGTCTGTCTTCTTGTGATCAAGTCCGGGTCTGAAGAGGTTGTCAGTGCCCCATGTCTGTCTTCTTGTGATCAAGTCCGGGTCTGAAGAGGTTGTCAGTGCCCCATGTCTGTCTTCTTGTGATCAAGTCCGGGACTGAAGAGGTTGTCAGTGTCCCATGTCTGTCTTCTTGTGATCAAGTCCGGGAAGAGGTTGTCAGGTTGTCAGTGCCCTTGTGTCTTCTTGTGATCAATGTCTCCGGGACTCGGGTAAGAGGTTGTCAGTGCCCCATGTCTGTCTTCTTGTGATCAAGTCCGGGACTGAAGAGGTTGTCAGTGTCCCATGTCTGTCTTCTTGTGATCAAGTCCGGGACTTAAGAGGTTGTCAGTGTCCCCATGTCTGTCTTCTTGTGATCAAGTCCGGGACTTAAGAGGTTGTCAGTGCCCCATGTCTGTCTTCTTGTGATCAAGTCCGGGACTTAAGAGGTTGTCAGTGTCCCATGTCTGTCTTCTTGTGATCAAGTCCGGGACTGAAGAGGTTGTCAGTGCCCCATGTCTGTCTTCTTGTGATCAAGTCCGGGTCTGAAGAGGTTGTCAGTGTCCAATGTCTGTCTTCTTGTGATCAAGTCCGGGACTGAAGAGGTTGTCAGTGCCCCATGTCTGTCTTCTTGTGATCAAGTCCGGGTCTGAAGAGGTTGTCAGTGCCCCATGTCTGTCTTCTTGTGATCAAGTCCGGGTCTGAAGAGGTTGTCAGTGCCCCATGTCTGTCTTCTTGTGATCAAGTCCGGGTCTGAAGAGGTTGTCAGTGTCCCATGTCTGTCTTCTTGTGATCAAGTCCGTGACTCCGGGTCTGAAAGAGGTTGTCAGTGTCCCATGTCTGTCTTCTTGTGATCAAGTCCGGGTCTGAAGAGGTTGTCAGTGTCCCCTGTCTGTCTTCTTGTGATCAAGTCCGGGACTTAAGAGGTTGTCAGTGTCCCATGTCTGTCTTCTTGTGATCAGTCCGGGACTTAAGAGGTTGTCAGTGTCCATGTCTGTCTTCTTGTGATCAAGTCCGGGACTTAAGAGGTTGTCAGTGCCCCATGTCTGTCTTCTTGTGATCAAGTCCGGGTCTGAAGAGGTTGTCAGTGCCACATGTCTGTCTTCTTGTGATCAAGTCCGGGTCTGAAGAGGTTGTCAGTGCACTAAGGCTGTCTTCTTGTGATCAAGTCCGGGTCTGAAGAGGTTGTCAGTGTCCAATGTCTGTCTTCTTGTGATCAAGTCCGGGTCTGAAATGGTTGTCAGTGCCACATGTCTGTCTTCTTGTGATCAAGTCCGGGTCTGAAGAGGTTGTCAGTGCCCCATGTCTGTCTTCTTGTGATCAAGTCCGGGACTTAAGAGGTTGTCAGTGCCCCATGTCTGTCTTCTTGTGATCAAGTCCGGGACTTAAGAGGTTGTCAGTGCCCCATGTCTGTCTTCTTGTGATCAGTCCGGGACTTAAGAGGTCTGGTACCAGTCTAGATTTTGACATTACAGTGTTCAGTTAAACGTGACTCCCCTGCAAAGAGTTTATGTCTTACTTTTCCATATCCCCACAGGAATGTAATTTGTTTCTACTCCTGGCAGCGCGCGCAGGTCAGACCAACCTTCCGGGGTTTCGTCGATCTGATGGGTCATCATCATCCCAGACACCGGAAGATGGCGGAACTGGGATTCCTGAGATACTGCAACATTTGTTTGGTGATGAAGTCCCACACACAGATAACGCCGGCTGCAACCCAATGCGCCCTATGCACGGCCCCTAGGTACATTATATCTTAGCATGTGCGTGGCCTTCAACCTGCTGTGAGTGTGGGTGCTCGGAGATAAACCACCTGTGTACATACTTTTGACAAATGCGTCTCTTCTACATCTTCTTATGCTTACATGTCCATCCTTTTATCGTATCAGTATATGGGTAAGTCATTGTCAACAAATGTTTTTGAAATACTGTTCTTGTATAGGGCGGGGCTGGAGGGGGAAGTGAGATGAGGGTGGGGATGGAGAGGGACGTGAGAAGGGGGTGGGGATGGAGGGGGACATGTGATGGGGATGAAAGGGTACGTGAGGTGAGGTGGGGATGAAGGGAACTTGCGATGGAGTCAGGGATGGAGGGACATGAGATGTGGGTGGGGATGGAGGGGGAAGTGGGATGCGGATGGGGATGGAGGGGAAGTGAGATGAGGGTGAGGGATGGAGGGACGTGAGGATGAGGGGTGGGGATGGAGGGAAGTGAGATGAGGGTGATGAGGGGACGTGAGATGAGGGAGGGGAGGGAGGGACGTGGGATGGGGATGGGGATGAAGGGTTAAGTGAGAGATAAGGGTGGGGATGAAGGTTAAGAAGAGATGAGGGGTGTGGATGATGAGGGGAGGAGGGGATGGAGGGACGGAGAGATGAGGGTGGGGATGGAGGGGACGTGAGATGAGGGTGGATGGGGTTACGTGAGATGAGGGTGGACGATGGTTCTAGGGACGTGAGATGAGGGGAGGGATGGAGGGGAAGTGAGATGAGGGTGGGGACATGGAGGGACGTAGAGATGGAGGGATAGGGGATGGAGGAAGGGACGTAGAGATGGGGTGGGGATGAAGGGAAGTGAGATAAGGGTGGGTGATGGGAAGGTTAAGAGAGATGAGGGTGTGGATGAAGGGATGGAGGTGGATGAGATGAGGGTGGGGATGGATGGACGGAGATGAGGGTGGGGAGGGAGGGGATGATGGGTGGGGATGAAGGGTTAAAGTGAGATGAGGGTGGGGATGAAGGGTTAAGAGAGATGAGGGTGTGGATGAAGGGTTAAGTGAGATGAGGGTGGGATGGAGGGGTACGGATGAGGATGGGGGAGGGGAGGGGACGTGAGATGAGGGGTGTGGATGAAGGGTTAAGTGAGATGAGGGGTGCGGATGAAGGTTAAGAGACATGAGGGTGGGGGATGGAGGGACGGAGATGAGGGTGGGGACGGAGGGACGTGAGATGAGGATGGGGATGGAGGGACGAGCTGGGGGAATGGGATGGAGGATGAGGAGAGGGTGATGGGAGGGACGGAGAGATGAGGGGTGGGGATGAAGGGTTAAGTGAGATGAGGGTGGGGATGGAGGGGACATGACATGAGGATAGGGATGAAGGGAGAAGTGAGATGAGGGTGGGGATGGAGGGAGAAGTGAGATGAGGGTGGGGATGAAGGGCACGTGAGATGAGGGTGGGGATGAAGGGTTAAGTGAGATGAGGGTGTGGATGAAGGGTTAAGTGAGATGAGGGTCTGGATGAAGGGCACGTGAGATGAGGGTGTGGATGAAGGGTTAAGTGAGATGAGGATGGGGATGAAGGGTTAAGTGAGATAAGGGTAGGGATTGAGAGGACGTGAAATGTTGGTGGGGATGGAAGGTAAAGTGAGATTGGGGTGGGGAAGGAGGGTTAAGTGAGATGATCGTGGGGATGGAGGGAAGTAGAGATCAGGGTGGGGATGGAGGGTTAAGTGAGATGAGGGTGGGGATGGAGGGAAATAGAGATGAGGGTTGAGGGATGGAGGGACGTGAGATGAGGGTGGGGATGGAGGTTAAGAGGTGAGATGATGAATAGGGTGGGGAGGGAGGTTTAGAAGTGAGATGGGGGTGGAGATGAAGGGCATGGGAGATAAGGATGGGGATGGAGGGTTAAGTGAGATGAGGTTAGGGGATGAAGGGGTTAAAGTGAGATGAGGGTGGGGATGAAGGGGGAAGTAGGATAAGAGGTGGGGATGGAGAAATAGAGATGAGGGTGGGGATGGCAGGGACGTGAGATGAGGGTGGGGATGGAGGGTTAAAAGTGAGATGAGGAGAGGGATGGAGGGGACATGGGGGGTTGGGATGGAGGGAGGTGGATGAGGGGTGGGGAGGGAGGGTTAAGTGAGATGGAGGGTGAGATAGGGAAGGGCATGAGGTAAGGATGGGGATGGAGGGTTAAGTAAGATGAGGTTGACACATGGCCAAGTAGAGATGAGGGTGGGGATGAAGGGAAGTGAGATATGGGAAGTGGGGATGGAGGGGAAATTAGGATGAGGGATTAGGGATGGAGGGACGTAGAAATGTTAGTGGTGCTGGGATGGAGGGTTATCTAGATGAGTGGGATGGGGATGGAGGGATAAGAGTGAGATAAGGGTGTGGATGGAGGGGCACGTAGAGATAAAGGGTCAGGATGGAGGGACGTGGGGGACGAGGGGTGGGATGGAGGGGAGATGGAGATGAGGATGGGGATGGAGAGGAAATGAGATGAGGGTGGGGATGGGGAGGGGTTAAGTGAAGATAAAGGATTGGGATGGAGGGAGGAGTGAGATGAGGGATGGGGATGGAGGGGGACGTGAAGAAATGAGGTTGGGATGAAGGGTTCTAGGATGAGGTGGGGGATAGAGGAGATGGTGAGATAAGGGTGTGGATGAAAGGGAACGTGAGATAGGGGTGCTGGATGAAGCGGGACGTGAGATCGGGGGGTTGGGATGGAGGTAAGAGTAAGATAAGGGGTAAGGATCGGAGGGACGATGAGAGATAAGAGTGGGGATCTGGAGGGGACGATGAGATAGAGGATAAGGATCGGAGGGACATTATGAGATAGGTGTGGGGATAAAGTGGAAGTGAGGATCAAGGGTGGGGATAGAGGGACGTGAGATGGGGTGGGGATGGAGGGACGTGGATATGAGGATCGGGATGGAGGGACGTGGCTGAAGGGTGGGGTTGGTTTTACATACTTTTAGGGGTGGATTCAAGCAACAGGACGTGAGGGGTCCTGAGAATTGGGGATGGGAAGTGCCCATGAAGGGGATCCTAGGATAAGAATGGGGATTGAGCGTGACGTGCACGATGAAGTGGGGATGGAGCTACTGCTGGCCCCGGGGGTGGGGATGAGAGGGATGTAAAGTGGAGATGAGGGTAATGGATGGAGGGACGTGGGGATGAGGGTGGGGATGGAGGGACGTGAGATGAGGAGGATGGGGATGGAGGGACGTGAGATGAGGGTGGGGATGGAGGGACGTGAGATGAGGGTGGGGATGGAGGGACGTGACGTGAGATGGGGATGGAGGGGCAATGGGGATGGAGGGACGTGAGATGAGGGGTGGGGATGAAGGGGACGTGAGATGAGGGTGGGGATGGAGGGGACGTGAGATGGGACGTGGGGATGGAGGGAAGTGAGATGAGGGATGGATGGAGGGATGAAGGATAAGTGAGATGATGGAGGGGATGGGGATGGAGAGGGACGTGGAGATGAGGAGGTTGGGGATGGAGGGGACGTGAGATGAGGGTGGGGATGGAGGGACGTGAGATGAGGGGTGGGGATGGAGGAGGTGACGTGAGAGAGGGTGGGGATGGAGGGACGTGAGATGAGGGTGGGGATGGAGGGACGTGAGAGATGAGGGGTGGGGATGGAGGGACGTGATGAGATGAGGTGGGGATGGAGGGACGTGAGATGAGGGTGGGGATGGAGGGGACGTGAGATGAGGGGTGGGGATGGAGGGACGTGAGATGAGGGTGGGGATGGAGGGGACGTGAGATGAGGGTGGGGATGGAGGAGGACGTGAGATGAGGGGTGGGGATGGAGGGACGTGATGAGATGGGGGTGGGGATGGAGGGACGTGAGATGAGGGTGGGGATGGAGGGACGTGAGATGGGGGTGGGGATGGAGGGGACGTGAGATGAGGGTGGGGATGGAGAGGGACGTGAGATGAGGGAGTGGGGATGGAGGGACGTGAGATGAGGGGGGGATGGATGGAGGGACGTGAGATGAAGGTGGGGATGGTGGGGACGTGAGATGAGGAGGGTGGGGATGGAGGGTTAAGAGATGAGGGGTGGGGATGGATGGAGGGGCGTGAAATGGGGGTGGGGATGGAGGGACGTGAGATGAGGGGTGTAGAGAGGGATGAACGTGAGATGAGGGGTGGGGGGATGAAGTGTTAAGTGAGATGAGGGTGGGGATGGAGGGGACGTGAGATGAGGGCGGGTGTAGAAGGGGGATATGAGATGAGGGCGGAGCGGGAGGAGGTGTACCTCTCTGTATTTCGAATCGACATCCGCCAACGTACAAAAGCTAATAAAGCCCTGCATGTTACCTTCTGAGACATATTTTGCTTTTTTCAGTTTGTTTTGGTGACTAAGCGGTAAGTTTTGTATAACTAAACTCTGTTTGAATTATCTGGCAGGTCGTATTTCGAGCAAGTCAAATGAATCCACCCCTTTCTTTCTTGCACACAATGGTATTGTGGTTGAGTTTGACTAGAGATTGCAGCTCGGGAAACCAGGACCATGGTGCTCTCTGCTGGAACGCGGGGTCGGTCCAGGTTAATCAGGAGATTAGCCCTGTGCCAGCACCTTGGCCTCATATAGCGCTATCAGTACGGGCGTCTCAATGAAAGACGTGCTACGCACCTTCATCTGTCTAATTCCCACTCACTTGATACACTTACACCATGACGGATTTGCACGTGTTCGCTGAACAGCGGGAAGGGACGCTTCTACAACCTACCGCAAAAAATAGCCTTGAATTAACAGTCTACAGAAATACACTGAAACTGGGTGTAAGACAAGGTGATGCGAGTATCTATACAGAAATACACTAAAACTGGGTGTCGGACAAGGTGATGCGAGTATCTATACAGAAATACACTGAAACTAGGTGTAGGACAAGGTGATGCGAGTATCTATACAGAAATGCACTGAAATTGGGTGTCGGACAAGGTGATGCGAGTATCTGTACAGAAATACACTGAAACTGGGTGTCGGACAAGGTGATGCGAGTATCTATACAGAAATACACTGAAACTGGGTGTCGGACAAGGTGATGCGAGTATCTATACAGAAATACACTGAAACTGGGTGTCGGACAAGGTGATGCGAGTATCTATACAGAAATACACTGAAACTGGGTGTCGGACAAGGTGATGCGAGTATCTATACAGAAATACACTGAAACTGGGTGTCGGACAAGGTGATGCGAGTATCTATACAGAAATACACTGAAACTGGGTGTCGGACAAGGTGATGCGAGTATACAGAAATACTAAACTATGCAGAAATACACTGAAACTGGGTGTCGGACAAGGTGATGCGAGTATCTGAACAGAAATACTGGAAGCTGGGTGAAACAGGGTGATGCGGTACATACAGAAATGAACAAGGTGATGTTTTACCGAACCCCATAGTGTGACACCTATGGTATAGTGTTACCCCACCTTGTAGTGTCACACCTATGGTATAGTGTTACCCCATCCCGTAGTGTGACACCTATGGTAGAGTGTTACCCCACCCTGTAGTGTGACATCTATGGTATAGTGTTACCCCACCCCATAGTGTGACACCTATGGTATAGTGTTACCCCAGCCCATAGTGTGACACCTATGGTATAGTGTTACCCCACCCTGTAGTGTGACATCTATGGTATAGTGTTACCCCACCCCATAGTGTGACACCTATGGTATAGTGTTACCCCAGCCCATAGTGTGACTCCTATGGTATAGTGTAACCCCACCCTGTAGTGTGACACCTATGGTATTGTGTTACCCCACCGAGAAGTGTGACACCTGTGGTATAGTGTTTCCCCATCCAGCAGTGTGACACCTATGGTTTAGTGTTACCCCACCCTGTAGCATGACGCCTATGGTATGGTGTTACCCCATCGAGCAGTGTGACACCTGTGGTATAGTGTAACCCCACCCCATATTGTGACATCTTTGGAATAGTGTTACCCCACCCTGTAGTGTGACTTCTATGGTATAGTGTTACCCCACCGAGCAGTGTGACACCTGTGGTATGGTGTTACCCCACCGAGCAGTGTGACACCTGTGGTATAGTGTTTCCCCACCCAGTAGAGTGACACCTATGGTATGGTGTTACCCCACCCTGTAGTGTAACTCCCATGGTATGGTGTTACCCCACCCTGTAGTGTGACTCCTATGGTATGGTGTTACCCCACCCTGTAGTGTGACTCCTATGGTATGGTGTTACCCCACCATGTAGTGTGACACCTATGGTATGGTGTGACCCCACCCTGTAGTGTGACTCCTATGGTATAGTGTAACCCCACCCCATATTGTGACACCTATGGTATGGTGTTACCCCACCCTGTAGTCTGACTCCTATGGTATGGTGTTACCCCACCCTGTAGTGTGACTCCTATGGTATAGTGTAACCCCACCCCATATTGTGACACCTATGGTGTAGTGTAACCCCACCCCATATTGTGACACCTGTGGTATAGTGTTACCCCACCCAGTAGTGTGACTCCTATGGTATAGTGTTACCCCACCACATAGTGTGACTCCTATGGTGTGGTGTTACCCCACCCTGTAGTGTGACTCCTGTGGTATAGTGTAACCCCACCCTGTAGTATTGGTATAGTGTACACCTATTGGCATACTGTTACCCCACCCTGTAGTGTGACACCTATGGTATAGTGTAACCCCACCCCATATTGTGACATCTATGGCATAGTGTTACCCCACCACATATTGTGACTCCTATGGTGTGGTGTTACCCCACCCTGTAGTGTGACTCCTATGGTATAGTGTAACCCCACCCCATATTGTGACACCTATGGTATACTGTTACCCCACCCTGTAATGTGACACCTATGGTATAGTGTAACCCCACCCCATATTGTGACTCCTATGGTATAGTGTTACCCCACCACATAGTGTGACTCCTATGGTGTGGTGTTACCCCACCCTGTAGTGTGACTCCTATGGTATAGTGTAACCCCACCCCATATTGTGACACCTATGGCATACTGTTACCCCACCCTGTAGTGTGACACCTATGGTATAGTGTAACCCCACCCCATATTGTGACATCTATGGAATAGTGTTACCCCACCACATATTGTGACTCCTATGGTGTGGTGTTACCCCACCCTGTAGTGTGACTCCTATGGTATAGTGTTACCCCACCCTGTAGTTTGACTCCTATGGTATAGTGTAACCCCACCCCATATTGTGACACCTATGGTATGGTGTAACCCCACCCCATATTGTGACACCTATCGTATAGTGTAATCCCACCACATATTGTGACACCTATGGTATGGTGTTACCCCACCCTGTAGTGTGACTCCTATGGTATAGTGTAATCCCACCACATATTGTGACACCTGTGGTATGGTGTTACCCCACCCTGTAGTGTGACTCCTATGGTATAGTGTTATCCCACCCCATATTGTGACACCTGTGGTATGGTGTTACCCCACCCTGTAGTGTGACACCGTTTGCATGGTGTTACCCCACCCTGTAGCGTGACACCTGTGGTATGGTGTTACCCCTCCCAGTAGTGTGACTCCTATGGTATAGTGTTTCCCCATCCAGCTGTGTGACACCTGTGGTATAGTGTAACCCCACCCCATATTGTGACACCTATGGTATGGTGTTACCCCACCCAGTAGGGTGACACCTATGGTATGGTGTTACCCCACCCTGTAGTGTAACTCCTATCGTATAGTGTTACCCCACCCTATAGTGTGACACCTATGGTATCGTGTTACCCCACCCAGTAGAGTGACACCTATGGTATGGTGTTACCCCACCCTGTAGTGTGACTCCTATGGTATAGTGTAACCCCACCCCATATTGTTACACCTACGGTATGGTGTTACCCCACCCTGTAGTGTGACTCCTATGGTATAGTGTAACCCCACCCCATATTGTGACACCTATGGTATGGTGTTTCCCCATCCAGCAGTGTGACACCTATGGTATAGTGTTGCCCCATCCAGCAGTGTGACACCTATGGTATGGTGTTACCCCATCCAGCAGTTCGATACCAGTGATGAACTGCTACCCCGCCCCAGCAGTGGGACACCTACGATATACTGTTACCCCACCTTGAACAGATATGTCCGAGCTATCAGCGATACAGGTATTGATTCGGGTGAATGCAACAGGTGGTTAGGAAAATATCACGTGACCGATTATTTCATTGATCAATATTCCCCAGGTGTTACAACTTTGTGGGAACTGACGCCGTGGTCCTTGTCTCCAGGACGACTCCATTACCTGTGCATGGAAGGTAAGATGGACAAATGTCTTCGTGTTTGTCTCCTATATTGTGTCAGGACCACTGTGGTCTGTAATTATCTAAAACGGCCCTTTGATAGGCTGTCACTACACGTACACAATCACGGCATATCGGTGTCACGTGGTACACAGGCCGCTAGATGGTGTTGTCACTCAAGTAAAGCATGTCGTGGGGTAGCTGTCGTTACTGCCGTGTACCTGTCAAGGGGTACACCGTCACCCGAAACAATACTTCCCCTCCCACGTGACTGCACGTGTTGAGGTATGAATCATTCATACATTACTTGGCTGTGCTACGACAGCGACAAGTTTGTCAATATATTGAACTGTCGCCGAACTAGCCGACAACATAGGACTTATTTCTAATAACTTCAGGCAAATTGAGACCAATCCCTATTGAAGTATTTTATAAAATATTTGACAGCCAAATTGAGCCAATATATTTGTACGGGTCAGACGTTTGGGGGGTTGAAGATATGACAGCACTGAAAATTCTCTTCCTGGCATGTCTTAAAGGTCGGTGCTCAAACACCAAATAATATTATATATGGAGAATGTGTACGATTTCCAGTTTATATTAATTCCAATGTTCAGTCGATGAAATATTGGCTTAAGTAACGACGCATGGGCGTCTTAGATCCGTCATATCCTTTGCTCATAGACTTAAATGATGAAAATCACTTTTGGTTGAAATGTGTAGGTGTGTGTATGTGTGCGCGTGTGTATGTGCGCGCGTGTGTATGTGTATGTCCCTTGACCACCATTTGATTTTCCCCTATTGCTCATCGGAATCGGAATTTTTGCTCGGACTGCCCCAGTCAAGGCACGGTACTTCTATGTTTGACCTCAGCTGTTTCGTCTGATCTTGTACAATAACCTTCAAATAGCCAGTTCCCCTCCATCTGAACGAGTCTATACGAGTTACACAGTCTCACAGGGTCCATTTCCTGTCTGTAGGAGTTACACAGTCTCACGGGATCCATTTGCTATCTGTAGGAGTTACACAGTCTCACGGGGTCCATCTCCTATCTGTAGGAGTTACACAGTCTCACGGGGTCCATCTCCTATCTATACGAGTTATACAGTCTCACGGGGTCCATTTCCTATCTGTAGAAGTTACACAGTCTCACGGGCTTGATTTCCTATCTATACGAGTTATGCAGTCTCACGGGGTCCATTTCCTATCTGTAGAAGTTACACAGTCTCACGGGGTCCATTTCCTATCTATACGAGTTATATAGTTATAATATCTGTAAGAGTTATACAGCCTCACGGGGTCCATTTCCTATCTGCAGACGTTACACAGTCTCACGGGGTTCATTTCCTATCTATACGAGTTATACAGTCTCACGGGGTCCATTTCCTATCTGT